GTTCTCTCGGTTTTGAATTTACCGCCTGTTTTTATAAACGGTTGAAACTACTTTATTCGCACCGCGTTAACCTGTGAATAGTTTGATGTCAAATAACAGTAGCGGGAACCCGGGCAACCACAACAAAATAGGATAGTCGAACTAAAATGATTTGTTTGCGAAGTTTAAAGGGGTACAGGTGAATTGGATTGACATCCCATCCAAAGTTAATCAGTGAAAAGATTCTGGCGAAGTAACAAAATTGTATTCTCTTACAATGGAAGCGAAAAAGACATTTGTTTCGAAGAGAACAACGTAAGTCACTGACGTAGTTTCAATTTACATGTTCACAAATTTTCAATATCACTTCCTATTATTTAAATTTCAGGGCTCCATTGACTAAGTCGAGGAGTATTTCGAACTTAAAACCTAAGTCGGACAGCTTGAGGTAATCCCACAAGATGCTATTTCATTTCCTATTGGACCGTATGCCTCATTTTCTATGAAGCCTATTTACTTTATTACTTTATTCAAATAAATACTGTCGTTCCTCTTTTCCCTTTTCAGTGAGACCGCAAAAGTTGGTTCATTAAACAAGAATTCGCCAGCACTGCTGAGGGCCAGTTCTGCTAATCTTCACACCACCTCAACAAGGTCTACAGGTATGTTATTTACAAACATTGGTTTGTTCGTATTTTTCCATTTTACTTTCTTATGTTTTCCTTTTCTTTTTATATTTGGAACACAGGCAAAGAAAGAGTAACCATTAGTCAAAGGAACTCTGAGGTAATGGAAATTTTTAGAGCCTTAGGACAATTATTTTTTTAAATATGCTTTTGTCTTGAGTATACTAATTTTACAGGGAGGAGAGGCCTTTGCAGAAGAATCGAAACTTGACAAGATTGATGGCGCTTACAATTCTTATTTAACATCATCGGCTATCAAAGTTTTATTAGAAAAGTCAAAACGTAGAATCCGAGGAGACATAGATGTAAGTCTTGATAAAATCACCGCTATTTATTTTGTTTTGCCTTAGGTAAAAATATTACTTGTTTTGTCTTTTGTAGAAACAAATTGCTGCTCTCCAAAAACGGGTCACTGACAGTCTAGATGCTCTAGAACAAACGCAGTCAAAACTGAATACAGTTTGCCTTCTTCAAGAAGAGACTAATTTGCTTGCCCATCACAGAGAAGCATGCAACACCTTTTCAAGTAACTATACTTGTTATAAAGTTTACAATTTACTTTTATTGTATTTTTTTCTTTTTGTTCAATGGCATTTGTGGTAATACATACGTATAACTTTCTTTTATAGATGAACCCGCTTTTACAAGAGGAAAAAGCTTTGAGGAACTTTTGTCAGAAATCAACAGAATTAAAAATCAACTTCCTTGTAAGAATGTCTGTACTCCTGAATCAAGCAAAGAACTAGGTAAGTTTTGTTATCATTTCATATTGTTTGTGTAAGCATTCCCAAGAATACATTATAGTTCTGCACCTTGAGGTCATGTACTCACAAAACTGCTTTTGTTCTAATTGTTGTATCCCTTTGCCACAGCTCATTTCCAAGATGCAACGTCTCAGCTATTGCATGTAATGGATCTCATTTCCTCCTCTTATGGATCTGATCAAACCCCTATCTCTCTTACTGCTACCGAGTTGGATAAAATCAACACTACTAGAGAAACTGTCCAAAACATCAAATTCAGGTACACTCTGGGACAAGTGCTTTTCCTGACAAGTATGACATTTGTATTATCAATTTTTTCCTTTACAGCGCTGATTCTATTTCCAAGAAGACGAGTTCCAGTATTCTGAATGAAGCCATCATCAAAACAGCAGAGCTAAAAGTTTGTGAAGCATTTGATGCACTCTAACCTGGGATTGTTTTGCAGTTCTCTGAAACAACTATTACAATAAAGACTTAACTATTAAATATGTTGTAATGAGTCCTTCAAAAATTGCCGTTTTGCTATTTGAAGTTCCACCAGTTCAATTGAAATTATGCCTAGATGAAATCCACCATTCGTGATAGAGAAAGAATGAAGTGATTTACGTTGACTGATTCATGAATCATTAATCACAGGGTTGTAGAGGGCAGAGAACAAGACAGTATAAAGGAAGATTATATATTAACGATTTAGAAAAGCACAGTAAAATAACATGAGATGCTTAAAGCAGGTCAATACACAGCAACATAATAAATAACAAAATGGGCAATATCATCATGCCCAAAATGGATAAGCATAAAAAATATAATCTAAGCACTAGTAGCAGCCTGTAGACGTTTGTTTAAATTTTCCAGTTGCTTTGGTGTTAGTTCGCTCTGTGCTTGATTAAATTCATTTGGAAAATCTCTCTTGATATTAGCCAATAGAGTGACAACTTGTTCCAGTGTTTCTGAAAAAAAGTTGATTAAATATTTGTCCAAAAAATAAAAAATTAGTACAGTAGAATTAAACCAACCTTTTTCAGTATGCTGTCCTTTGTACAATACTACCATTGCAACTTTAACAACAGGTAGTATTTGAGATAAAAGTGCTTGATGGCCCAATTCATAAAGGTAGTTAAGGCACTTAAAAACCATCTTATTTTCAGCAAAGTCTTCACGCAATGGAAGATGCTGAATAAAAACAGGGAAGACCTGCCACAAATAGAACAAGGAGTAAAGTTATTTTGGCAATGATTGCAAAACCAAAACTAGTAAGATTGTAGTCTCACCTCATTTATAGGAATCCCATTCACATTTGTGACTATCATTCTACAGAGTGCACCAACTATGTTGTCTAAAGTACCAGGGTGTTTTTCACTAGCAACGGCGACCGAGAGCACATTGAGAATTTGAGGATATAATCTGTGACAGTTAAGGAAGCCAACCTGTCTTTAAGAATAACAGCAAGGGAACATGTAAGGCACATGAAAAAACAAAGCATTATGTAACATCAACGCAAGGATACGGGTAAGTAGCTTCTTTGGCATTTAGCACAAATTCTCCCAATCCATAAATGGCATTGTTACGAACTTCTTGATGTTCATCTTGTGACATTTGAAGAACCATAGGAAGCAGGTCTCCTACAAATTGAGCTGAGCAAGGGCCAAGTGCTTCCATGCATTCTGCTATAGTTCCAACTCCAAAGGAGCGCTGCGATACAGAGCTGGACTTTTTCTATAAGAAAATAAAAGAACATGTAATTTTTGATTAATGAATTCCTAACTATGTGTGATATTTGAGTTACACATGATACTAACCATCTTGTTTAAGAACATTGGTAAAATATTTTGGAAATATAAAGCAAAATCTTCATGGCTCATTGCTTTACCCAATTGAGGGACAATATTACCAGCATATTGAATAAGCAATTCATCCTGCTCTGCATCATCATCGTCCTCATCATCACCACCACCACCCTCATTTCCAGCTTCATCTTCGTCTTGACATTCAGTTTTGTAAGTCAGAACATCTCGAATGCAATTGATGATAGCATCTCTGTGGCCATCCCCAATGAGAACAACACTTTTCAATTCAGAGAGCATTTCAGTATAGGCATCAAGAGCAGACATCACAACATCACGATCAGGTTCCGTATGAATTATTTCAGCACATTTAGGCACAAGTATAGACAGAGCCTTGAGAAGTGCCTGCTCACCCTGCTCATTTTTAATGCTTGTTAAGCTAATGCAAAACTGAGCAAGAGCATCAATAGCATTGCGGCGAATATCACTATGAGGGAATTGTACCATCTTGAAAACCTCCTCAAAACACTGATCCATATATGGCATAAATGCAATGCCCGCTTGCCTGGACAATTCTCCAAGGGCGAGACAAGCCTCCTCCTTTTCTTCCATGAAAGCATTTTCAACATTAAATTGGCTAACATCCAAATCATCATCACTATCATCAGAATTCTCAATATCTTCCTCCTGGTCTGGATCATCACTCAGATCTTCATACACAGGGAATGCTGCATTTTCTTCATCATCCTTGAACTCTGTGAGAATACCTTCCTGACTTCTGATGGAATTCAACATAATTTCTACCACTTCAGGTAATATGGTCTGAACATCTGACTTGATAACTGTACTTATAGAACTCAGAAGGCCATATACACTCTTACGCAAGTCAGGATCATCTACCTTCTTCAAAAGAGCCATGGCCAGTTGTAAACACTCTTGGGAAAGTGGCTTGAAAGTATCTTCACCCACAGTACGAGCAAGAACCCCTAAAGTGTCTGCAAAGAACAGTATGTCAAGTAAGTTTAGAGAACACAAACCACTTAACACAAAGCGTAATATCAAACATACCAACTGATTGGATTTGCAAACACAATGTTTCAGGGGTCTGTTCCTCAGTCAGATAGATCCTCAAAGATTCCATAATTTTAGGAAAGTAGGGAACCATTTCTTCTCCAGCAGCATTAGCTGAAAATATGAGCCAAGTATAAGGGCAAATAGACACAACATAGTAACATGGCATCTGGCATTAGGAATTTGTACCTGTGGCACCGATAGCACTGATTGCAAGTTCTCTAAGGTGCACTGAATTGTTAGGACTTAATGAAACAAATAGACTCTCCATTAAAACTGGCAAGTATGGTACAAGTCTATCACCCAAATTTTCACAGAACATCTCCAGGGCATAGAACATTCTGTCAATGCCAGTTGGCTCCTTGTTGTCGCCCTGTTGGTTAATTTTGGCACACAATTGTTGCAAGTATTGGAATAAGAGCGGAAGAAGCTCTTGATGGAAATCGGATATTTCAGGCTAAGAATTAACACAAGGGTTAGTGAAATTCAACTTCTCACACCATCATCCATGCAAAACAAGTAGTAATCCTATCCTACCTGTAGATGTTCAGAAAATTGTCCAAGTGCAAATAAAGCCGCATTTCTGACAACACTTGCATCACTAGTAATGCCTTCACACACACAGGTTAAAAACTGCTTGAGGTATTTGTTGCGAATATAATCACTGCATCCTTCAACAAGGACAGCCATAGCAAGATAAGCAGCTTTCTTGGCATAAACATTGTTCCCAGTTAACGCAGGTTCAATATGACTCAACTGAAAAATAATTAAAGGTATTACGATCATCTATTAGAATGGTAGGACATGATAAATGGAGAAGTGGAACCTACAATGTGTGGAAGTATTTTTTCAGGTGGTATATGCAGAGCAAGAAGATCAAGTGTCTGGTTAGCACATGTCATAGGTGTGTCGTCATCTTCATCCTCTGCAAAGTAATCCTCTTGTTCATCCTCACTAGATGGAGAGCTCATTAACTCAAAGAGAACATCAACAATTGGTTTCACCAAGTTGTTCTTGATAATAACCTGGATCAGAAATAATCATTTTAGGAATTAAACATGGAAATTTAATTATTCGTACGAATGGGCGAGGCAACACACACCTTCTTTTTACGTGAGACCAGGTCACTGATGAGACTTAAAGCTTTGATCCGGATATCATCTTCTAAAGTTGCCACTTGAGCAATTGAAAGACACCCACTAACAATAATTTTAACATGAGGAAGAACCACTCGAATGGAACAATCCAACAGAGTATCAATGAAATCTAGAACTTGAACTGCCTTGCTTGCATCAACTTGAGCTAGTGCAGCAACAACTTGAAGTGACAGAGGCAGTACTTCATGAAACATATTGACAAGCTGAAAGCAAATTAAATATTAGTTGTATGGCAGCTGAATATTATGCTCAGGGAGTAGTGCACTTACAGGTTGATTCTGTTCAGCTACGAGCGCCATGTGACTTAGTGCTCTGAAAGCATGGAACACAATAGGAGATGTAAGGTCTTGGTCACCAGCAGCCTTTAGGGAAGCACCTATTAGTTGACACAGTGCAGCTGATTGATTCAGGAACATCCGAGGTGCGATGTCAGTGAAAATGTCCAAGGTACTCATTCCAAGCTATCAAGAAATGAACATTAGCAGAAGATCAAAGTAAAATACCATGTACTGCTGGTATCAACATACCTCTCTCTCCTGAACATTTTCACTCGTGTTAAGCTGTTGTACAAACTGAAGCAGCTCTGGCCAGCTATTACTCTGCAATTCATGTTTCATGATGGAAGCAATGAACTGGGCAATGCTTGTCCGTACAGTCTTGTCAGACTCATTGACAAGAGCGGGAAGAATTCCTTGCTTGACCCTGAAAGGGTAAATTATATGGTAAATTATCTGAACATGAATCGCAAGTTGAACGAATCTGTGCAACTTACGAGCTTTTCTCTTCCGCTGACAGCTTGTTCCAGTGCTTAGCCTTGGACAGCCTCTTACGGAGCAGCACAGCAGCATATTGTCGGATCTGCGGATTGCTGGATGAAACTACGACGGTACACAACTCAAGGATGACCCCTGGCTTCTGAAATGCTTCACGCAATTCAGCAGTTCCCTGAAAACACAAAAATAATTTTGTAACATAACAGTGCACACAGTAAATGGGCAGCTGGCCTACATTAATAGTGACAATCAAGTTCACATAAAAACCACTTTCATTCATTTTCAGCACCTGTTGCAGGACACCATACTGTCAAACAGGCAGGGCACAGCGGTCCATCTTGCACCTACGGATAACGTCTGCAGCCCCTGACAAGGCGGCTCGCAACACGTGGAGGGGTTCCTGGGGTGAGCGGGTCCTCGCCGTGCCCGCTCTGCCAACCCCACTTACGCCCTAAGCCTCCAGCCATAGGCCCTGTCCATGCCATGCCGTCCATGCCTTGGCCTGCCGTACCGCGTGTCGGCCGCACCCGAAGCCGGTCCACAGACATGACGTCCATGACGGACACGGCCCACGCCCTCTCGCTCCCCGCGGAGGAGTTCGCCCGCACCCGAGGCCTCGCGCTACACAATGCCATTTCCCCATTCGTACGTACTTTTTGAATCACTTCATTGTCTGCGACAAGAAGTTTGTTCAGGATCGCTTCCATCTTGGTGTCACTGCTGTCAGAGCCTTGAGTGAAAACAGGCTGTCCCCACAGTGAGTTCGTCATGGCTGCAAACACGTGGGACGAAAGACCCTACTGATGGAAAACGTTGGGGACTGGGCTTGAGAGAGCGCAGTCAGAAGTGTGGCTGTCCGGCTATCAAACACAGGAGCTCCCCGAAAAGTCACAGGCAACGGGCTGGAGGTTGGAACTGAAATGCGACTGGAGAAGACATGGCATCGCCGAAGTAGACTCCGGTCCGGAGGCGTAGCGCCTTGTTCTTTAGCAGTAGGCTGACTCTTCGGCTTTCTCCCGACACTGAATTTGTACGTTGAGAAATTCGTGGGGTGGTTCCAGCACAATGATTTTTCTAAAGTAATCACCCAATCTTCAAGAGCTGTCTGCGAACGCGTCGCCTATTCTTCGAAGGAGAGTGCCATTGTTGCGACAGAAACAGTGGAGTTGCTACGCATGCTTGGTAGCCATGTAAAGACTCAAGAGAAGCGCGCGCGTTTCAAGTATCACAGGAAAAATGTGGAATATGCGTCAGATTAAATTCAATGAATGAATGAATGAACGAATGAATGAATGAATGAATAAATGAATGAATGAATGACTATGAATTGAATGAGTGGATGCGATGAATGAATTCAATTAATGAATGCAATGCATGAATGAATGAATAAATGACTATACATTTAATGAGTTGATACGATGAATGAATTCAATTAATGAATGCAATGCATGCATTCAATGCATGAATTCAATGAATGATAATGGATTGTTGAATAAATGGGCTGATGGATGAATAAGCTAACGAATGGAACGGGGGATTGCGAGCGAGATGTAAAACAAGAGCGGAGCGAGCAAAGCTTGTAAAAATGCCTTTCGTCTAGTTTGGATTCTCTGTAAAATGTCACTAGCTTCAATGAGCAAATGGAGAGCATTACTATCTACTAACTTTTATCTCTCTCTTTCATTTTCTACATCTTGAACACGACAGCTTTGTCACAATTTGTGTCCTGTATTAAACCCAGTGAATGCTGGCCGCAGACTCGATCAGGCCCTACATCGGAAAGGTCGGTCCATTCTACTCATTCCCTCTCTCTCCCTCCCCTCTCCGCTTCACACCTGCCTGCCCGCCCCACCCCCCTCTCCTCCATCCGCCCCTCCAGCTCCAGCGGACTGCCGAGCACTGCTTGTGCGCAGCTCACATCCACAGCTTCCCTGCCTTGTCTTGCTCACCCTCTCACTCTTCCTCTCTTCCCCTTTTCTCCGTCTTCGTCGTCCTCTGTGTCTCTTCGCCCACCCTTCTCTTTCTCTCCCACTTGGTCCACGCTGCCCCCCCCCCC